GGTGTTCACATTTGGTATATGTGTGTGTATATACAGAAATGCATCAAAAGGGATTGCAAAAGTATTTATTCAGGATGGAATGTGTAAAAAAAAGGGCTTAAGAGAATTTGTACTCAACTTATTCATTTGTTAAATTTCTACCATTGATAAAAAATATATTATCTTCACGGTTTTAAAAACCTATTAATGGGAAATTCACTTTTCTGATTCTTCCCCAAAATTTTAAGTTTTTAATAGAAAACATTAACATCATACTTTAGTAGATACAGGGTGTTTATAAATCTAAAGAGCAAGATAATTTGATCATTTTATTAATAGCCTGCACTAATCCCTCTCAATGAGATGGATTGACACACAGTGGCTGCCAACAATGGATTCAAACATAGCAATGATTTTGAGGATGGAACAGGACCAGCAGCATTTCATTCTGTTGTACACTGAAGACACGTAACAACAACAATCCCTCTCCAACATTCCAAGCTTTATACAAATTTCAGATTATACAAATGTTTTTTCCACTCTCCTTATTATTTTGGTTTTTACTTTCCTTTAAATTCCAAGATAGCTTCTAGTCATAAAAAGGTTAAGACAGACGAATGCAATCTGAATGTAATTACATGTATCAATCCATTTTAAATAGTAAAATAAAGTCTAATTCCCACATCTTTCCTCTGAGTCACCACTCCCATAGACAAGAAGTAGAGTGAACAGATGGGCAAGCTTACAAAAACGTTGAAATACACTGAGAATGCTAAGGTATTAAGATAATTCACAGGCAGATTTATGGAGTATGTACACACACATACACACACACACACAAAAAAAGCCTCACTGCCATCGAGTGGGATCCAACTCCGGGACCTCCCCTTGGGTTTCCAAGGCAGTATCACTATGGAAGTAGATTGCCCAATCTTCCTTCCAAGGACTGGCTGGTAGATTTGAACTGCCAGCCTCTGGTTAGCAGTCAAATGCCTTAGGCACTATGCCAGCCCAGTAAAAAAGTAATGTACAAAGTCATTGCATCACCTTGTGGTAATGCCTGGGAAGTGTTGTTGTTATGTGCTATGGAGTCGGACCTGACTCATAGCAAACCCTCCTTGGGTTTCCAAGATTGCCCAAACTGTGCCTCAGAGAGAGGAAATACAGCCCTACACACAAAGAGAAGTGGAAGCAACTTTTATCATAACAAATTTTGCTTCCTTTTCTCTAAAGTACATCTCCAGAAACATGGATACATTAAGTCAAGGGTAAGTAAAATTTTCCAGGCAAAAATTAAATGGACATTTGGCTTAGAATAAAGTCTGAAACTGCATGTATATTCTGGCTGCAGTGCCTCACCTCTTGCAGCTTTCCTACTATTCTTCTTCAAGTCCTGAATGAAAAGGCCTGAGAATTCCTTTACGGAGCTCTGGTAGCATGCTGGTTAAAGCACTGGGCTACTAACCTAAAGGTCAGCAGTTTAAACCCACCAGCCTCTCCACAGAGGAAAGATGAGGCCTTAGAAACACAACAGGGCAGTTCTGCTCTGTCCTATATGGTTGCTATCAGTCAGAACCAATTTGATGACAGTGGGTTTGGTTTAACTGGTTTGTAATTCTTTTATGTATGTTATGCTGTATAAATTTCCTGGTCTAATATCCAAATTTTGTTATTTCAGAAATTCATTGATGGCTACAGACAAATAATATGCAGTGGGCACCTGGTTAAGAATCCAGTTAAAACAAATGCGGGCCAGCCAGGGACTCTTTCAGGGGGGAAAAAAAGCATTTCAAGTTTACTTCCACCTCTTCCTAACTTTTTTAAACTCAAAATAGATCTTGCTTTTTGTAGTTGTATGCCCCCACCAATGGCTCCTGATACTCATTTTACTTGACTAATCCAAAAACATGATCCTTAGGCAACTGAAGTAGAAAATAAACCAAACTGAGAACTTCTGTGGATAAAACACATAAAACTGAATTAAGCTTTTTAATTTAGATAAACATTTCATATAATTTCCCAGTTCTAACTGAATTCAAAAGGAAATAAGGTAATTTTGCTAAGAGTAACTGTGTGATCGTGATGGTTATTTTTCTCTTAATTCTTTATCAGTCAGAGATGCTACTTTTAAGTGAAATGCTTGATGTGTCGAATGTGCTTTAAAAAATTCTAGGGGTGGGGGAGGGGTTAAGTAAATGTGTTAGAAGAGGATAATAAAGATAATAAAAAAAATACTAGCAAAATATTGTTTCATTTTACTGTTCACTCTCTTTTTTGTGTATGTTTGAGTTTCCACAATGAAAGTAAAATCAAAGCAAATGAAGCATATTAATAATAAAAACTCCATGCACAATCTATTACAAGAGAAAAATTGCATGTTAGAACAGGAACATTTTGTGTTCTCTGATTGCTATAGTTCAGGTAATCATTGACAAAGTTAGCGAAAATTTTAAAAATCATGGATTAAAATACAAACTCTTGGAGTATTTTAGTGGCACAAATAGTTAAGCAATGTACTACTAGCAAAAGGTTGGTGGTTTGAAACCACTCCAAAGCACCTAGAAAGACAGACCTGGCAAGCTGCTTCCAAACGGTCATATTCTTGGAACATATTCAATGGAACAGAATCCAAAGTCCAGATATAGACCCATCCATCTATGGACAACTGATCTTTGACAAAGGTCCAAAACCTATTAATTGGGGAAGAGACAGCCTCTTTAATAAATGGTCCTGGCAAAACTGGATATCCACGTGTAGATAAATGAAACAAGACCCATACCTCACCCCAGACACAAAAACAAACTCAAGATGGATCAAAGACAAACCCAAAACTATAAAATACATCAAAGATAAAATAGGGGCAAAGCTGGAAGCCCTGATTTACGGCATAAATAGACTGTCAAGCATAACCCAGAATGTGCAGGAGATAGAAGAAAAGCTAGATGTCTGTGACCTCTTAAAAATTAAGAGGAGAGATATATCTCCCCAGCAATAATAGCAAAGTTCAACAGATCAGATAGTAACAAATACTTTTAAAATAAAAAATAATAATTATAAAAAAATACATCCTTGAAGTAGTTCTACTGCACATAACATGGAGTCACTATGAGTCAGAATCAGACTATATGTTAACAACAACAATTATGAACCCTTAAAATTATCTCCAACTTCAGTCCTACAGGACACACAAACATCTGAAGGAGGAAATAATGCCTGACATTTTCAAAGTTATCCTGGTTATTCATATTTTAGCTCACAGTCTGCCCACTAGTTAATAGACCAGTACTCCAGAAAAATGCTGTCAACAATTTTTCTATGAGGCAGAAGCAAAGCCACCAACCTATAGTTTTTATATATCCCCATCTTCAGAATCCATTAAAAACTGTTACCACACTCTATGCAGGTATCACACACATCAACTCTATTTTCTTTTTAAATATTTTTTTGAAGTTAGTTTCTAAAATGCTATGATCTTGGCCTGCATATTAAAAAGAGAGGAAATTTTTATCTTCTTTTAAAGGTTTACGTAAACCAAAACCCAAACTCACTGCCGTCAAGTCGGATCCCACTCATAGTGACACCTCCTTGGATTTCCAAGGTGGTATCACTACGATTCCCCAACCTTCCTCCGGAGGAGTGGCTGGTGGGTTTATGTGGGAGAAAATAAACTTAAAATAGCCAAAAGCACAAAAGGCCCAAATTTTACTTAGTAAGATCCAAATTCCAAAATAATACAATCCAATAAATTCCACATGTGAGATAATTCCCTCACACAAGGAGAAGCATTGTTAAGATCTTTCATAAATATTTAACATTATTAAAAAGATTAAATCTTGGAATTCCAAAATAATCTGTAATTTTTCACATAGAAAAGGTAATTACTGCTTTGTTGTTTAATTGCTGTAGAATCGATTCCAAAAGCTTAAGAACTTGATGACTAGAAAAGAAAAACTACAATAGAATGTTCTTTACGGTTTGGCGATCACGTGGCTAAAAAAAAAAAAAAAAAAGTTATTTCTAGTGTAATCGAAACTCCTCTAAGAAATAAATCTACCCCAGGTAACAACGATGGATTAAGTCTGGTCTCAGCTCCTTCTCTATACCAAGAAAGTACTTTGAAGGCAATTAGCCCACTTATAGAACAATGGAGTGTAATATATATTTATTAAAAGAGTGACACATAACCCAAACCCTGCCTTCACTCCCAGATAAACTCTCTAAGCTCTGGCACTGAGGCTCCAGTAGGAGACAGAAAGCAAAGAGCTCCAGTCTGGGCATGTTCACGACTTGGCAGGACTGGCGGCGGGGGAAAGAGTTGTGAAATCAAGAAAACTGACTTAGCAAAGAAAAATGTGACTCTCTTCAAAGATTAAAAAAAAAAAAATCCCTATGAGTATTAGTGGAAGGGGCCATTTCTAAACAGATGGAAAAAATAGTTAATTCTACAGATCCTGGAGAACCTAGGACCTAGACAGAGCAGCTGACCCCGCCCACAGCCCTAAAGTGTAGGCGGCACAGATAGTCTCCACCTCCTGACCCACCGGCTACTCAAACCAAAACAGTTCGGTTTCTCTCCGCAAAGGCAAGCCAGAGCGTCCTTTCCGGATTTGACCTACATGTTTTCCAAGCTTACCTACGCTGATAGCACACAAACTGCATTCAAAACAGTCACCATAGCGTTCAGACAAAGTATGTTTTTCTCCGAGGGCGTCACACGCGTCACTCGGCCCCCCTCGCCCCCGCCAAAGGGTCCACGTCCCACACGCTTCCGCAAAAATAACGAAGGCATATTCCGTGTGACGCGGCCACCCATGCCTTCTGCCACACTCCCAGTCACAAAAGCAATCCAAGAGGAAAGGTTTGTCTTAGGAAATAAAAGCACCGTCACCACAGAGAATCTACCCGAGACTCGCCAGGGCCCTAGACTCCGTGAGCTGAAGGTATATCAAGGTCCCCAAAAGAGCTCTAACTAGGGTATGCCCCGCCAAAGGCGCTGGAGCGGACCGGGGAAGGCACCTTACCCAGTGAGGGTTCCCAGGCAGAGGGGAAAGGTCAGCGAGGCTTCCGATCCTGAGACGCCATCAGCGGCCGAACCTCTGACGCCACCGCCGCTTCGCTATACCGACCGGTGACACCTCCGCTCAGAGCCAAGAGCCGGCGATATGTCACTTCCGCCCAACAGAGCCATCCCTTCCGTTTCCGTCCATAGGACCGTCCCTTCCGCCACTGTCGCCTTTCGCTGCTCCGCTGCCCCTTTCCCCCGCCCTGCTGAAGATGGTTTAAGACCTGCGGCCCAGCCAGCCAAGGGTATTTCTCCGCCCGGCTACTTTTACCCCTTCTTCGACTTCGCAATTTTCGCTCAAAGACCTAGTTCCTGCAAGCTGGCTCCGTTCGTTTGGATTTGCATTTTTGATTTTTGAATTATTACTTTGACCTACAAAATGGGGAGATACGGAAAAGTTAAGTAATTTACCAGTGCGGTCATGGGTAACCTAGAAGTGTCATTAAGGTCTCATTGCCTTGATCTTAAAAATCTAAACTAAGCCACTTATGGGAGCTCTGGTAGCATAGTGGCTAAGACACTTGCCTGCTAACCAGATGGCTGGCGGTTCAAACCCACCAAACACTCCTCGGAAGGAAGGTTGGGCAATCCTACTTCCGTAGTGATACTGCCTCGGAAACCCAAGGAGGGGTCGCTATGAGTCGGGGCCGACTCTACGGCACATAACAACAACAACAACAAGCCACTTATAGATTAAAACTAAGTAAGAGAAATGTAGAAGCGAAGGAAGGCACCCTGGTGACGCAGTGGTTAAGCGCTTGGCTGCTAACCCAAATGTCCCCGGTTCCAGCCCACCAGCCGCTCTGAGGAAGAAAAAAAAGACCTGGCAACCTGCTCCTGTAAAGATTTAGAAAACCCTGTGGGCAGTTTGTGCCTAAGGCACTTGACTGCTAACCAGAAGGCTGGCGGTTCAAACCCACCAGCCACTCCTGGGAATGAAAATTGCCGGCAATCTACTTCCATAGTGACACCGCCTGGGAAACCCAGCGAGGGGTCGCTATGAGTCGGGTCTGACTCGACAGCACATAACAACAGCAATAACAACATGGTCAGTTCTACTCTGTCATACAGGGTCGCAGATGGACTAACGGTACACAAAAACAAGCGAAGGGAGCAAGTACACAGCTCGTTGTTGTTGTTAGGTGTTGTCGAGTGGGCTGCAACTCAGAACGAAACACTGCAGGGTCCTGCGCCAGCCTCACAATCCTTGCTGTGCTTGAACCCGTTGTTGCAGCCAGTGTCAATCCATCACGTTGATGGTCTTCCTGTTTTTCGTTGATATCCTTTTCCAGGGACTGATCTCTTTTGACAAAGTGACCAAAGTATGTGAGACGAAGACTGGCCATTCTTGCTACTAAGGAGCATTCCAGCTGCAAGTCTTCTAAGACAGATTTGTTGCTACTTCTGTCAGCCCAGAATACTGGTATTTTCAGTATTCTTCACCAACACCACAGTTAAAACTCAAGGCCTCTCATAGCTCGTAGTCCGGTTTGTCCCTTTTTAACTACTAGGTTTTGTTCACTGTAAACCCTCAGTTTTTCGGAGGACCATTTCAATTCCAGTGCTCTGTGATTCTATTTTCTCTTACTTCGAAGTGGCCTCTTTTCAACCGCATTTCTATGAGTTAAGTTTTTGTCACCTGTATTATTTCGTGTGTGTGAATTTTTACCCTGCGTTTTCTGTTAAAGTACAATTTCATAAATCACTTTTGACTGTTTATATCTTACCTTAGTAAACATTAAATTTGAATCTTAACTCCACAGAAGCAGGTGTGTTCTGTCCGAATTAATCATACTCCTGTGTTGCTGTAAACTAATAAAATTTGCAAATCTCACTGGTGAAGAAAGTGTGATAAATTAGATCACATTAAATGTTGAAACACCTTCTAAATACACAACATAGAAAATTCTTTCATACTTTATACCCTTCACTTCCACATATTTAAGATTACATTACCTTAGAAAATATAAGCTCTCAATATTTGCTGACTGATTTTTTTCTTATAACTGGCATCTTTGAACTTGGTCTTGTGCTGGGTATTGTGCTTGATTATAGAATTTCAGGAAACCTTTACAGATCATTTAGTCCCAATGTCCTTATTTTACAGATGAAGGAAATGGTATAATAACCAACATTAGTAGAAGTGTTACTAGTAATAATTTTAAAGTAGTGGAAATAATTGTGCCTCTCAAGAAATATAAATATAGCTGTGCACTTTATAAGTACATATTTTGAGAGGTGTCACTTTTTTAATCATGTTACTTATATGTAATACATTTCTAATAACCCCCAATTTTAAGTCAATTAGATTAAAACAATGTGCTTCATAAAAACCACAATTCAAAAACATTTCTGTGCAAGTATTTTCAGCGTGTTGGTTTTTTGTTTTTAATTTTGTTTTGCAGTTTTATTAAGTTCTTGAATTTTTTTACCTTGTTTTCCCCATGAAGGTGTTTGTTTAGCTACTTTAACTTGCTTTATTCCTTTTAATGATGATTCCTTGAACTTTTAGGCCCACGTTTCTCCCATCAAGGTAAATGTATCCTCACAGTATTAAATTCTGAATTTTTAAAAATTAGCCTTTTATATGTATGGCAGTGTATTAGGGGCTATAGGAGATATGAGTGCATAATCCTGTGTATGAAACCCTTGGCCAGACATAATTCAGAATTTTTTTGACTTTAGAAAGGTGTACTTTGTGTTATATGACACCCCACAATGTTTAGGACAGTACTGCATAATCAAGTTAATATTCTTTCTGGGAAAATTATAAATCCCTCACTAAGTAGCATAAATAAAGAGCATAAATAATCTTTACTTCAAAGCAGATTTTCAGATCAGGTACAGTGCAGTGACTTACTTGGTATAGCTTTTCTAGCCATAGCCTTTGTAACTCCCACCGGATTACTGGGTTGTTGTTGTTGTTATGTGCCATTGAGTCGGCCCCGACTCAGAGCAACCCCTCCTTGGGTTTCCGAGGGAGCTCTGGTAGCATAGTGGCTAAGTCACTTGCCTGCTAACCAGACGGCTGGTGGTTCAAACCCACCAGCCACTCCTCGGAAGGAAGGTTGG